TGCTGGGAAGAAAAGCCCCGACCCCAAACACATTTTTGGCAGCCCCACAAGTGCTCAGACACACTCGAGCCTGCCCAACCCAGGGGAGCCCCTTTAACCCGGCACAGGAGGAGGAGAATTAACACASAGAACTTTTCTTAGGGCAATTTCACTTTATTTTTCCATACAGCAAGGTCAACTAGAGCAGTAATAATAAAAGAAGCAGAAACCCAAAATGCAGCCCAGGACAGAGCACGTAACTGAGCACTACAAGCGAAAGGAATTTTGTGTTCCAAAGAGCAAACCCGAGCGTGTCCGTCCTGCAGCAACCAGATCACATCAGATCAGATCAGATCAGATCAGGGGCTGCCCCAGCTGCTCCTTTCTTTCTTTCTTTGTTCATTTTGGGTGCTGAGCTCAGCATCAGCAGCTTCCCATAAAAACGGGAACATTTCCCGTTGTTTTCACCCGCTGAAAGAACAGGAGCACCACAGAGAAAAGAACCCCCGACCCCACAGCTGCAGGTGCTGTTTGCCTGTCCCTGGTTGAACGCTGTGAACGTCACGATTTGTTTGGAAGAATCTTTTTTTTTTGTGAACAAGAAACCACTGAAATTGTCAGAAACCGGTTTGAATAGCATATATCTTTAATATATTTTGATACTTTAAACATGCAGTAGATTTTGAATAATGTACGGAATATCTGAGCCATGATTCCCTGGATGGGCTAAAGTACCTGCTTTTTTTTTTTTTTTTTTTTTTTTTTTTTTTTTTTTTTTTTTTTTTTTTTTTTTTATTTTCAGGCAGATTTGACCCAGTGGAGTTTCTGTCAGTCATGAGATCTCGGAAGGATGGCAGATCTTTCCAGCTGAAAAAATCCTGGCAAACTACAAGCTGTCCACATAAAGCAAAGCAACGTTTTGGAAGGGGGATGGAGTGCTAACTCTGTGCCACTTTTGCAAGCAATTTTGTTCAGCCTGTCATTTTATTTTAGCCTTAACAAAACTCCTTGTAATTATAGACATTTTTATTCAAAATAAGATCTTACTATTATACAGGTTTCTCTCTTTTTTTGACTATATACAGAAGTGCAAAAAGTCAACCTTCGCTCTCGACGTCCCAACTGCAGCATAATCAACCCTCAAGAGTTTGCACACACACACACSAATTCTTGTTACGTAAACTTTGAGTATTTGGATTATCAACAAAAAGTCCCTTGATCTATTGATTATGCAGCTTATTTATAACAAGGCCTGATATTCAGGGATTTCAAAAAATATTTAAACAATATTTTAACATTTGAAATGGATACAGTAGAAAATAAATTTTATTCTAATATCTAGGAACTAGATTTTTTTTTTCTCTCATAATAACTAATTACAAACAAAATAAATCATCAAAATATTACTCAATTGTCTGCCAGGATTGTTGCCATAGCAACAACTTAACTTCTTACTTAGCAATGATTATATAATTATAAGATATCCATTAAAAGATCTTTGTTCTTTTAATGAAAACTAGACAAGAACTAACAATGACTGACATTCTTACATTGTCATATTAGATCAGTAAAATAGAAATCATTTAGTTAACAATAATACGAATACTCATAAGACACTACATGTAGATTCCAAACTGAGTATGTTATGAAGAAAACGATTTTTTTTTTTTTTTGTATTTCGAAAAAGTTATATCAGTAAACTCTAATAAAACAAAATTCTACGAACTGAAATGGTATCAACTGGTAATAGAAAACGAAAACGAGCTAATAAATGTAAGAAATAAAAACTACACTTTTAACAAGAAAAAAAATAAGTAAATTCTCTATGGTAAGTCACTACAATAACATGTGAAGTCGTCTATACTTTCTTAACACGATTGAAATTACATTGGTATGGGTTTGAACCCGTAATGTAATAATCTAAGGCTTTAATAGATGTACAGTACAATCAGGAAAATCAACACATCATTCTTCTCTATAAAGCATCTCTGTCAATCATAAAAACTGGGAGTAAACTCGGAGTATGGCGAGTTCTAGAACCGAACCCGCGCCTCTCCCTCCTGCCCGCCGGGGCCTGGCCCCAGGCAGCTGAACTCAGCCAAAATATCCTTTACTGGCTGCAACATCCAAACCACTAAAAGCAATTCCTTTGGATGAACCCGCTCTTAAAACTTGAATGCACATCTATCTGTTTGTTTTTATTTTGTAAAGGCTTTCTAAGGCTATAAGCAGTTAATCTGAACAAAAAAAAATCCCATATAAAACTCACCCGAGTAGGAACCCACCCGATTTCTAGGCTAATGAAGGTCTCATTTGTCCTATTTTGGTTTGTCATGCATCTGCTGTCAGTGCTTCTGCGTCTTTGTTTAGAGTCGCCGCCGAGGCGGGACTGGATGAATTAAAGTGAAACCCATCTCTGCAAGCATTTATAGTCCTTGTGACTYGAGACAGAGGCTAGAAATAGAGCAAAAGAATTCCTCAAACATTGGTTAGTGTGTCTCAGAAATGGCTGTTCCCTTTGCAGCTCACCTGACCCAATGTGCATAAATACAGTGCCTCGTTTATGAGAATATTGTCCGTGAGTTGTGACAGCTGCAGATCTCTGTGCCAGCTGCCCATGGCTGGGAGAGCAAGTGGCCATTTCTGAGACAGCTTTGGTTTGAAACACAACGGTGCCCTTCGACTGCTCCGGACTCAACGTGGTTCTGAAAATAACACTGCGAAATAATACTCTGGTGGATGGACAGTCTATGGCACTTGATGAGAATCCTTACCAACGTGGTACTTAAAGCCATCGATGTGCTTTAAAATAGACACAGTTGTGGTTTTGCTTGGCACATTCATCTCTGTCAGATTCCTCTCTTCCCGTTTCTTACAATCTATTACATTAAAAATATTACTCTTAAACAAAAATTACTGTGCATGCACGCTCTCGTCTATAATGGCAATTTTAAATACAAGGTGCACCTTTGTTATTTGTAAACCTTGAAAGAAATAAACTTACTTTAAAAAATTATATCTTGGTCTACAGACGTACCAATACATAATAGATTTCTGGTTGCAGCATCGTCGGYCTTTCGGGGTGACAGCCACGATTTTGGGGAGCAGCCCCGAGCTGTGTGCTGGAAAGGCAGACGATGCTGCACTCTAGACAATAAGATCACCTCAGCACAAATATCAATTCCATGTACAAAGAGGATTATAGGCAACAGTGTGCAGTGGAGTCCCACGCTCTCGCTCCGTCCCGTTAACATGCAATGTGTGATGTCACTGCTGAGGGGTTCCCAGTGCTGTGGGCACTATTTACAAACACTATGGCTAATGAGCTCGGCCTCTTCCCACCCCAAAGCGGCCTCTTCGCCTCGGACACCATCTGTGAAGGCAAGAGCACGACAG